AAATGGATTGTCACATATTTTGAGTTTAACTTTCATATACTCCCTTTATCACACATTATTTGAACTTTATAACAGTTTTTGGTATTTATTTAACATTTCATTAAAATATTTGAAGAAAAACGATGATTATAGGGGGTTTTCGTGGCAAAAGTGCGTTTTCGGGACTATTTTTCTCATAATCGGGAGCATTCGGGACTTTTCGGGAGTTTTCGGGACTTTTCGGGATTTTCTCAAAATATGCGAAAATCGGGAAAAATCGGGAATATAAAAACTATATATATTGGTCCTATTTTAGCCCATATGCCTAACGGTATGTAATTCCCGATGTTTTTATACACTAAATTTATTCGGGAGTTCCCGAAAAATAGAGACTCTAGTAATAACAATAATAACTTAATAACTTAAACATAGATTTTGATATATATATTGACTAAATTAAACACTCATTTTGTAATTTTTATTTCAATTTAATAAATAAAAAATATTTTCAAGTTTTAAACTAAATATTTTGTATAAAATATGTCTAAACTTTGTCCACAATTTCAATAATAACTAAATTTAGACGTTTTTTATGACATAATTTATGTGAGAATTCATGCCTTTTATTGCAAAACGTTTTTCAAAACAAAAGTCAATTCAAGTGAAGACCACATCTGAAGAGCGGTTCAATTGAGTCATATATTAGCCATTAATTGATCCCAAAATGGCTGACGACGAGTACGAACCCGAAGAGTAAGTGTTGAGACCATTGGTGAAGAGGTTGTAGTGATGTTGTGATTGTCTATAGTATGGGTCAGGACTACGACGACCCCATCGATGATGACGACAATATGGAGGCAATGGATCAGATGGACGACGAGAACGTGGATGTGTTGGCCGCCACTCAACACACACCGCAAGTGAACGCCAAACGCATTANAGTATGGGTCAGGACTACGACGACCCCATCGATGATGACGACAATATGGAGGCAATGGATCAGATGGACGACGAGAACGTGGATGTGTTGGCCGCCACTCAACACACACCGCAAGTGAACGCCAAACGCATTACCACTCCTTATATGACTAAATACGAGAGGGCGAGGGTTTTGGGCACAAGAGCTCTGCAGATAGCGATGTGCGCACCCGTTATGGTCGAACTCGAGGGCGAAACGGATCCGCTCCAGATCGCCATGAAAGAGCTCAAGTATGGCCACAACACACACACCACTCATACCATATCATTGTCTCTCAATGTCTTGTATTGTCCCGTTTTAGAGCCCGAAAGATACCGATTATTATCCGCCGATACTTACCGGACGGCAGTTACGAAGACTGGGGTATCGATGAACTCATTATCACTGATTAACTGATTCCTTACCACACAATCGTGTCATTTATCTTCAAAATAAAATCTTTATTTCATTAATTATTTTAGTATTAAAAGTGATGTTAAAATAATGTAAATTTTTTGGTTAATTTTCACAAACATTTAAAAGTGAACTTTGATTTGAGTCTAAAATATAATTTATAAATAAAAACATTTGTTTGGAAGACATTTGTGTTATCTTTTGAAGAATTACTTTTAAAAACAAACATTATTTACAAAATGTCACAAAAAATAGTTTAGTTTATAGTTTCGCATCAAATTTGATTCAATTGTTTTGTTTCATTGTTTGCATTATTTGTGTTCTTTTCGGCCGACTGTCTTCGGAGGTCAGCTTTGATGAGAACCGTGAGTACGGATCCCAAGACTAAAGCGCCCACAAAACCTAAGTTTGCGGATAAACTGTTGTACGAGTCTATGATCGCTGAACCACCAAATGTGAAGATCACTCCAAATATCTAATCAAATTCACATCATTTTATTAAACAAAATTGATCTAACATTTAATTAAGTGACCAGTAATGCCATACCTGTGCGGATGCGTTCAATAGTCCAGCGGACGTGCCTTCGGGCTGAGGGTAACTGATTTCTGCGGCCAATTCAAAGCCGAGCGGTAGATATCCGGTCATAAAGAAGCCGAGAATTGCCGAAACCAAAAACATACACCAAACAGATTTGAAGTGTAGAGTGACTGTAAATGCAATCATTCCCACCAATGATAGCAGATATACGCCAAGTGTTATCTGTTTGAATAGTTTAGTCCAGTCTAAGAGATACCCGCAAACGATTGAACCGAGAATTCCGGCCAAAGTTAACGTAAAGCCCATATAACCCGCTTCTTTCACGTAGTGCTCGCCCAGAGCTCCGGTCACCATCTGATTCAATACAGTGGACACCGCATAGAATACACCGGTATTTAAGCCGTACGTGAAGAATAAGAGGACATAGTTTGGATTCGTGGCCAACGCTTTAAGTGAACCCATAAACGATGAGTTCTCGTTGACCGCCTGTGCGTTGGCCTGCGCTGTGCTCGGAGGCAGATCTGGTTTGTCTTTGAAGAATAACACTATCAACACGAATAACAATGTGGTAAATATAGCCACACCGAAGAACAGTGTCCGCAGACCGGACCCGACCTCTGCGGTGCCGATGATCTTATCGGATATGTCGATAACTGTTGTCGAGGAAAGTGTTGTGATGTCGTGCGAGTCGTTATCATTGCTAAAGTTAGGCACTATTAGAGAGGGGACGAAGAATCCGATAGCAATGCCCACTTGATTGCCAAATACCCCGTAAGCGGTGGCGCGCGACACCTCCTTATCCGAGAACCAAACCGCAGCCAAAAGTGGAGGAATATTAAGGATAAAGAGTTGCGCGACGGCCACAACACTCTGTCCAATCATTGTCACATAAAACCGATCGGTTTCCACACTAAAACACTTGATCCAAGAGCCGAGACAATTGACAAAAGAGCCAAAAAGTATGCAAAATCGGAGTCCTTTAGTGTCGAGAAGGAAAGTGGCCGGAAGTATGCCAGCGATATATGCGGCCATAAATACTACTGAAGTGCAGTTCACCCAAAAGGTTGTCGTCCCGTAATATTTGACGACAATATTCTCGATAATCGCGTATTCAATCCATTGAAACGCGTTAGACATCGACAACAGTATAAACAATAGTAAAATAAAATAACGTTTTTTATATAATTTAGTCGTCAAACTGATGGACGTGGAAAGGGTTCCCGTCGTGTCCATCGACTCATTGATTGATGAGATATTTGCAGACATGATATATATATTTTCTTCAATAATTCTTTGTGTAAATATAAAAATATATATTTAAAAAACAAATTTTAAAAATTTGTTCAACACTTGTCTTTGAGANGTTGTGCACAAACCAATGCCCAGTTTACTCGCCTGCTCTACACCTGTGGTGAAGTTGGACGACACCAACGATGGCCTACCCGTCAGACTCGGGTCACTCGAATCGTTCACCACTAGTAGTGCCGCCGAAGACAAACACATCCATTACGTTAACATATGGTATGGCATTGTATGCTATTGTCATACCCTTAATGAGTGGTACGCCTTCTTTGTCGGTGATAATGACGGCAATGAGTCCATCAATTTTGGTGGTCAACGAAAGCAAATCCTTTTTACACTCCTTAAGACACAAATCACAAGACATTAAATCGTGTTTTATTCAAATGGTGTTTATATTTACCTCAATGTAAGACATCATTCGTATATAACAAGTGATTATCAAAACTGTGTTTAAGTTTATAACAAATTAACAAATTATAAAATCAATTACAAAAAGAGTGACAAAAAACACCCCTTTTTTGGTGTCAAATACTGATTGACTGATCACTTGAAGGTGTGATGTGTTTATGTTATGAAGTAATGTATTAAATATGTAAATATTATTATTGTTTTTATAACACAAATAGTATTTGTGTTGAAAATAATTAATTAAAGTTTATTTAAATCTCAATTATTACAAATCGTTGGACACAAATGTTTACACATTTTGTGTTAAAACATGTGATTATGAAAAGTGTATGACTTTTATGGCATACAATTGAATGGCATTGAAAGCAAACATAGGATTCACTACATCTGGTGAAGCCAAACATTAACTCCCGATATTGCCTAACAAAACTTTATGACCATGGCCAATGAACCAATCAATTTCAGCACTCTCAAATTCAAACTCATTTTACCAATAAATTACAAATACAAACAAATTGATTACTTTTTATAAGTTTATTTATAATTTTACAAAATAATTAGCGAATATAACAGTGTTATTGAGTACAGAATGGATATTCTTTGGACACTTCCAAGTAGTGAACACCTCTTCCCGTTTGAGTGGTACTATAGAAGCCGAGTCTTGAGTCTCCATTCTTAGTGCACTTCTTGTCCTCAAAGTCTGTCCAATTGGGGCACTTGTATGCGGTGAACATACAGTGAGAGCCACCGCTTAGGGAGGACTCGAAGTAAAAGACCGACGAATAGTGATTGCATGAGATGTGAAGCGTTTCGTTGAGTAGTGAACACCGGGGCTGATGGGAACCGTTGTGCGGGAAGAAGTCCACGTGTCCTATGGGCTCAATAAAGCCAACCTCACCGGTGATGATCAGGTGTCCGGCGCTCGTGTGGATGGCGTCCACGTAAATGCCGTCGTCTTGATTTAGATAAGCGCCGGGATAGCCCTCGAATAGGGGTGCGGCCGAGTCTAGCGCTATATTTCACAAATATTTATACATTTTATTACATTTTGAAATATTTCTAAAATAACAAGAATAAGAACTGACCGGAAATGCGACCAAATTTCCATTTGTAAGCGGTTTGTGAGTACTTTCCACCAAAACCTGAGACCTGTGCTCCCAAACTGAATCCAATCAAATGCACAGTTTTTGGGTCCAATTTATGTGTAGTTCTAAGGGTTTCCACGAGGAATGCTATTTGACGGCCGACTACCTGTGTGTTAGTCGACGCCTCGACATACAGGGGCTGTTTGGCCCCCTTATGCCAGTCAACCATAATCACCTGCTCGACGTGACCGTACTTAATAAGCGAGTCTTTCACCATGATCAGTTGCGGAGTTTCGCCATTGTTTCCAAAACCATGCGATATGAAGGCCAACGGTTTGGTTGGGTTTATTAGTTCCAGACTCTTGGCGTTGTGCGGATCCACTTCTTGAGGAGTGGCCGGAGATTTAGTCGTATAGAGTTTGAATTTGGTGTCGATTTCCGCCGGAGAGGCCGGAAGAGCTCCGATGTGTTTGAGGGGGCCATCAGTGGAGAAGCACCCGATGTCCGGATAACAGACCTCTTTTGGTGGCAGCGGTTCTCTCTTTAAATATTCGTTGACATCATTGACGGCATTATGGATGTCATGAAATAGATCATCAGTTATTGAAGCGTATGCTATGATTGGCAGCAAAGCAATCAAAACACTCTTGAATAACATTTTGAAAAATATTTAAAGTTATTCTGAACTCAATTAAGAATTAATTAAATTAATGAATACCTGTAACGACTTGTTATATATAAGATTACTTAACACTACAAATGAGTGGATTCTCACGATTTCGTAACTCTAAACAGGAATTTTAAGCAATCATTAGAAGTGGTTTGCGATTAAACCAAAAGGTTAATCAAAATTCTGGTCTATTTGAGTGTTTTATTGCTTGCGTTAATCGTTGATAAGTTTTGAAATATCAGCACAAAGTGCGTAAAATTATCCATTTATTGACAGAATTATATAATAATTATAACTTTAACTATTGATTTAGAATCCAATTATGTTTATTTCAAAATAAGTAATTTTTAATCAGTAAAGTGTGTTTTGAAGACCATATGACGATTAGTTTCATTACTCTATTTTTCTATTATTCTCGACAACAATTATCGTGTTGTCGTTTTGGTATATTTTAGTATTATTACATTCAACGTACCTTTATATCACCTTTACACTTTAGTGCATAACAATATTTTTACCTAATCACTAAACTTAGGATAGATAGTCCCTAAACATATTTTAATCGTTGCATTTTTAAAAAAAATTGCGAGACTAGAGTTCGTTAAATACCCAACAATTAAAGCCCAATATTTAGGTTGCATTCAAAAAGTAAATATTCCATAAAATTGTGATATTCTTAGCGTCACTTTAACATTGATTTGCGTACAAATCCTTGATTTTGAAAATCCAGATTATATTTGAAGTTTCTCTAATCAATTGTTTTTTGAAGTGTAATTACAAACCAATTAATATCCTATTGATGTAATAGATGTACTAAACCTTATTGTCTTAAAGTGTTCAAGGTAATATGCACTAAATATCATACAGGAATAAAAATTCTTATGAGGTTGTTATGAGAATGATTTATTATATTATTATTTACTAAACATTTAATTATTTCTAATTAAATATGCAATTATTATACAATAAAAAGGATTTTTCTTCTATTCTAGATTTGCACTTAATTTGTGATTAACAGCAAAATTACAACACTCTGTAATACAATTTAGATTAATTTTAGAGATTACTATATAATGACATTTATTTTTATAATCGTTTAAAATAAAATAAAAATCATCAATATTAGTAATGTATACACTTTAGAAAATATTTGTGTTACACTTATATAAATGTCTCAATCTGTTTCCATTGATAGTGAATTAATTCATTTCTCACTAAATCATTGCTTAATATTTCATTAGAAATGTCATCGTTTCACAAAATACATAATTAAAACTACAATTTTTTATTATTTACCGTATATAAAAAACATGAATTTTATTGTGATTACAATACAGTTAACCCCTTTCGGGCCAACGAAGCGCTCCATCGATACGAATGACTTCTCCGTTAATCATTGGATTAGAGATCAATGTTTGGACTAAATGTGCGAATTCGTCGGTTTCGCCCAATCTTTGCGGACACGGAGTTGTCATTCGTATGAAATCCAATAATTCCGGTGAATCCGAACGCAAGACCAGAGGTGTGGCGAAGAATCCGGCGGCGATTGTATTGACACGAATCCCTTGGGAAGAGAGATCGCGTGCGAGAGGGAGAGTCATGGCGTCGATGGCGGCCTGCGATGCGCTGAAACCGGTCTGTCCTTCGTGTCCCTCAACGGCCAGAATGGACGACGTGTTCACAACGAGCCCTCGCGTGCCGTTCGGGTGCAAAGGGTTTGCGGCCAAAAGCGGGACCGAAAGCCTTATGACGTCAAACAAACCGAAAACATTGATTTCAAACAACTCTTTGAAGTCTTCGAGTCGTTGCGGTCGACGCGACTCAAAGTTGTATAGTTTGAAGGCATTCGCAACGCCCGCACAGTTCACCACTACATCCAGTCGTTGTCGACCCGACTCGGCGTCAGTACAGCGCGAAAGAGCCGAAGCGATGTCCGATTCGCGCCGAATATCGCCTTTTATTTGGATGTAATTCTCCGCGTCTTCTGATTGGCTGTTGTTTTGCTGCAAATCCAGTGAAACGACACGAAATCCGTTTCGCGAAAGACGTCTACAAACGGCTAATCCGAGACCCGAAGCGCCGCCAGTGACTAACGCCACCAATGACTGCATTCTCACGTGTTTTCAGTTTATTCACTCAAATCTTACATCAGTTTTCATGTTATTGTGTTTACTATGAGTTGAGTCGCCTTCTGTTGAGTGAACAATACATGAGAGAAAAGTGTCCTAAAAATATAATTATGGAAACGACAGGCAATTTAGAAATTGAAAGGAGCTAGGGCAACTTACATGTCAACAATTATTTTTAAGAATATAATTTGGAAAATTAATTATCATTACTGTTATAATTATAATAAATATATGTATGAATTGACTTCAGTAATCATGTTTTTCCCCCCATAAAAATGGTATTGAATTTTCATTTACATAGGAATTTCTTTCATAAATGCATTTCTCTCTTCAATACATTTCAATTAATTTATTATATGATATACTTATTCATAAAATTTAAGATTTAATTTTTAAAAATTTTATTGTAAAAGTGGTGACTGCGGCCAAACCTGAAGTCGTCGGCCATATAAAGTATACGCAATCGGTCTAAACGGGGAATTATATATAAATATTCAACATGGTTGATTGATTGATTGAGTTAAAAACTTCAAGTTATAAAATTGTTTCAATTTATTAATTAAAACTTTTTACAAAAGAATTTCAATTGTGTTTTGATTTGAGCCTTAATTATATCACAATTTTATTATTATTAAACATTAATAATAAAAAGATTTTTTTTGTTAAATTTTAAGTATAAAAACGATTTGAATAATATGTTGTATAAAAAGTGGATTTAGTGTAACAAACAATGGTCTAAATAAGGTCTGAATGTCATGTGAAAGCGATGGGAGGACTCCTCTTAATAGTGGCGTACATTTTGTCGGGCATTTGAACGGCAGTGGAGGACATGTTAGCGCAGGTGATGTCGTCGGCGAAGACACACCGACTGGCCATTTGGGTGAGGGGTTCGGCGTATTCGTGTTCACCGTTGCGCTGATTGTGACCAATCATTGCCGTCAATGACTTTCGATGAGGCGATGAGTAATAAGAGGTTGAATTGAGATAACTTTTGGTGGGCGGCGACTGACAGTCGATGAACTTGGGTTTAGAGCCGCACTGGAAGTCATTCAATTGAAACGTCTCTTGCGATTGTCTTAACTCTGTCTTATGGATACAATTGTTGCTATTGAGTCCATTCATGCCATTCACCACTTGGTTCACGTGCTGTCGACGCATACAACCCAAAATTACAGATAGAAGGCATAAATTTACAGAAGAGAATCTCAAATTTCATGTTATTATCAAATATAATTTATTTTTAAATGCATAATTATTGTTTTAATGTCAAAATAAAGTAAATTTTAACTCCCGATTTTTCCCCGAATTTGACTGTTTTATGTTCCCGAATCCCGCCCGAATTTGGGTGTTTTTACTCCCGAAAAATAGAGACTCTAGTTATTACTACTAAATACAATAATTAATATAATAATTCATTCAATACAATTCAATTAAAAAATACTAACTTTTATACAATTATTAAAACAATTATCTCATTATTACATCTATTAAAACATTATTCAAAAAATAGACTTAAAATAAATATTTAATTCAAAGTAAAACTGTTTTGAAAATAATTTGTCATCAATTGATTAAAACGAATCAAACAAATGGAGACTCAAGAAAATAATTGTAATGAATGACAGACAGAGACATGGGATCCACTGACTCGTGAGAGACTAAGGCATGCAAAGTGTCCTCTAATAAGAGGTGTTTTTAATTTAATTAATAAAAAGTCGGATCGATTGCAAAGTCAGTCTCTGTCTCTGATATCGGTATTAATAATAAAACTTGAAAATAAAATAATTTGAATATATTTTGTTATCAACAAAATTATCTCCAACTCTACAACTAATCATAATAAGAAGACCAGAGGTTAGAGAAGGAGTTAAAAACAATTGAAATAATGATTAATTGGTTTGACTTTAAAGCGAATAAATATCTATTTTTCAAAGAGTAATATCAGTATAAATGGAGATAACATGAATGGACCGTCGGATCAATTAGTGTCGACACACTGTCGGAGTTCATTACAGATAATGTCAAACTCGGTCTCGAGGGCCAGCAATTGGCCGGTATTGGTGTGAGTGTTGGCCACGAGTGCGACAATGAGTTTGTCGCGATTGAAGTGAACGATTTGGTAGTTGTGATAATGGGTGACAATCGTTGTGCACAAACCAATGCCCAGTTTACTCGCCTGCTCTACACCTGTGGTGAAGTTGGACGACACCAACGATGGCCTACCCGTCAGACTCGGGTCACTCGAATCGTTCACCACTAGTAGTGCCGCCG